ACTACTACTCCTACCACTACCACTACTACTACTACTACTACTACTACTACTTGCCACTCCCACCACCACCACCACCACCACCACTATTGCTACTACTATCAGTAACACTGTTGCTACTACTGTTGCTGTCGCGACTACCACCGATGCTGCGACTACTACGACGAAGCCTTGTATTGAAGCCGAATTCCTAGGAGTCATCAGAAAGCCGCAAGATTTTTAGATTTAGCCCAATGAACGACTTCTCGTCATGTGGCCTTTTCAGCTTGCTTCGCGCTTTGCAGGCGCATCCGAGCCGGTCAATGGATTATGCGGACCAGGCGCGCTGATTCTGGGAACCAACTACACTGAAATTTGAAGTTGTTTAGGGCTGGTGGGGTTGAGGGCGTCTGCTTGTAGATGGCCCATGCAGCACAGAATGTTCGCAGCGAAACAAGCCAGACCTTGCAGATGATAAGAAAGCTACACAACCGTTTAAGTCTCAGATACGAGAGCTTGTTCTAGGCTTCAGTCGGCTCCAGGTCCGAATCGGTGCTGCATAGTGTCAGTTTAGCTAAGCCACAGCTTTTTGGCTCAGGGCTCCAGATGTTCTGGGCTTTACCAACGATTTGGAAGCCGAAATGCAGGAAAGCTGCTTTCTGTTCCGAGGTTGTCACGCAATACGAGCGGCGTGTGAAGGATCTCATGGAGCAGCTGCAGGCGAAATGCAGCGAGGCAGCGCGCTGCCGTCTAGGGTCTATGATTATGAGATCAGGTCTGGCAGACGGAAATCTCGGCTTCCATGCAGCTGCGAGAAAGCACAGGGCTCTAGACCCTGCTTGACTCATGACTTAATGTCTTCTGAATTCCCGAAACCTTGGGTTGGCAGTGGTGGCGCTGCCACGGTGGACACATCTACGCACTCCAGGCCTCTAGGCTTCAGGATGCGACAGGAACCCCAGAATTTACTTACTGGTCGACACACAAGCCTCGGCGAATCTGATGCACGCAAAGTTCCGGCTCCTAGCCTCGAGCATCACGAGTGTCTCGCTACACTTGTTTATTTATTGTATTTAAGGGTAGTATGGTCTGAGTGTCAGTGCTATGTCGTTCTCAGCCGCTTTCCATGTTTTTACTGTCCTGCAGAGTCCCAAACTGACCCATGTTGAAGAAGCTTGTGCAAAAGTTGGAGCGCTTCTCATGCCATAGCCAACGACTTGGGGGTTTTGAGTGTAAGGTTCAAACTTGAGGCCTTCTGGATTACCACCCTGAAGCAAGATGTTTGCCTTCCATCAACGCCGAGCTTCCTCGCGGGTGGGGGTCTCTTAAAACGTAGGAGTCCTTATGCAGCAGCCTGAAAATCAGGATCCTGCCGTGTATGAGGTTCGACCTTGAGGCCTCTGGTTTTCTGACGCCGCAGGTGTCAGGCCTCAAGGAGAAGTTGGGTGCGCAGGAGCTCCAAATGCAGAGAACCCTCCATGAGTCGCCTGGCATCCAGCTTCCCTTGATGTCGGGCTTGGGGTTTGAGGCTTAGGTCCTGGGAAGTGAAGTGTGCTATGGCTCTCGTGGGTTCAGGTGCAGGCTTTTAGCATGAGACATCCGGAAAGATGCCAGAAGTGCTTAGATCCGAGACTTCAAGCCCGCGTCGATTGATGTCGAAGGACCGTATCCGTGTCTCTACTCTGTCAATCTCTCGAAGCAGTTATACAAAGGCATATCGAGGGAATTGGGTGGCTGATGGAGAGATCGATAGGCAGCTGCAGGTAGCTCAGAGATATGCCAAAGCAAATACTCGCATCTATGAGTCTATGCAACAAAGAGTTCACATGAATACATCAAGCGCACATATGCAGACTTAGATAGTTACAGAAAGATACCTTTGCATGTGTACATACAAACATATGTATATAATAAGTGTACTTATACATACATGTTTATGTGTATATATATATACACACATACCCTTACATCGAGTTTTGATATCCGCATATGTATTCGATTATTTGCCAATCTTTCTCTCACACACACGGCCCGGAATGGAGGTTTCCTGTCAGGTTTCCTTGTGCTCGAAGGCTTCGGTCCCGCAACGCAGAGGATCTGATGTAGGGCCTTCGTAATTACCCATACTACTTTGTCGGGGTTCCTTGTTGTAATCACAGTATAATACAGGTTTTATTCAGCAAATTAATCAACCCCCAAAGCCCTATTCTGACTGTCAAGGCCCCTATAGTATGTCGAGGGTGATTTTTCATAACGTCCCTGTTTGATCGAATCATCACAGGCCGGAGAGGGGCCTGGTCAACACGTTGGAGTTCGAGGAGACGATGACCGTCAGCTTCATCTTCACAGCGATTTGAAGGTTACAGTTGAGGAGTAAGGTCATAGCGTTAATGGGAGTGACAGTGATGGTGGGTGCTTGTCTGATGGTGGTGCTTGTCGTGGCCGTGACTGTGGCTATGATGCAATGACTTGTGCTGTTGTCAGTATCAGTATCAGCCTTATGCAGCAATTCTACTTTGCCACTGTTAGCATTCAGCTGTTCCTTCTCATCCCCCTCCAACTGCCGCAACAACAACAAGAAGTGCTGCTACTACTACTACTGCTCCTCCTCCTTCTCCTCGTCCTCCTCCTGCTGCTGCTTGCTGCTGCCACAGAAGCCAGCGCACCGCACCTTCTTGCCCGGAAGGAGCAGCTCTCCGCCAGTCACGAGCGACGGAACACGCAGCTAGCGGCCGGCATTAGCAGGGTGAAGTTGTCAACCGTTTGTCTGTCCCGACTCGCCTGTCGGCAAGGCTGTCGGAGCAGCTGCAAGCCAAGCGCCAGGAGGCCAACTCTTGATGCAAGGAGTGTTTAGTTTAGACTGTTTAGAAGGAGCCGAAGAGGAAGTGACCCTCAGGACTCTTCTTTGGCTGACCAGTTCAAGCTATTGCCGTTAGGCGGTGTGCCATCTATGCCAGTAGTCCTTGGCCTGACACAGTAAGCCGTTTCTGCCTTTGTGCATTGGAAGAGGTCGCTATCCTCAAGGAGCACCTACAGGCAGTGGGGGGGTTCTCATTATCGCCTTTTGGGGGACTGCAGTTGACCTCCTCAGACAGCTGATGCAAGTACATTGCCCACAGGTAAAGAGCGAAGAGATCAAGCAAATCTGTGCTGCCCGGCCCTTCCAGCAGCCGCCAGAGGAGGACTCACTAGTACTCTGGGGTTTCTTCGTGCCCGCTCCTCCAGGGCGGAGTCTGTGGCTCTAGGCGAGAAAGCCCTTGACCCGAGCCTGGAAGTTTCCAGACTTCCGGAAAGCTCTAGACGCAAGGCTCCGGACCCTGGAAGCCCAAAGTCCGAAGGTCCGAAAGCCGTGTGGGTCATAGCCCCAAACCCCTCAGCGCCTAAGCAGAGATTTTCAATCCGAGAGGATCCGCTGGACCAAAACAAGCGACCCGGTTGCAGACGTTCGAAAGCAGGGGCATGCGCGCGGTTTCGGGGTGGGATCGCAGTGCAGCGTTTCCTTTTAGGCGTTCTTAAGTTTGGTTGCTTAGGATGTTGGATTCGAGGTTGACAGGGGCAGGTCTCAAGGTTCGATCCATATCAAGGAACTTTCTTTCTCTCAAGGGTCTGTTCCGTTCTCGACAGTCCGAAGGTCAGCGCCGAGGTTGTTTCGTTTCCAACCTCGCCTGCACATGTATCTTTATCAAGCGTCTGGAGCGCCAACGTGGCTGTCAGCTTGATGCAGGCAGCGCGGTAATCGATGACCCGAGGCTGTCCAGACAGAGGGAGCATGTTCCTAGCACAGTGCTTTTGCTTGGCTTTCCGAAAAAATACACTATACTATACTACTCTAGACTGTACTGTACTATACTACAAATGCACAAAACTATACTAAGCCCTGAGCTCCAAAATGTGTATCCCAGGCAGTTGCAGGACCTCCAGGCGCGAGATGCATGCTTTGGGTTTGTGGACAGTGTTCCGACATCCCGTGCATCAGGGTGGAGGATGTATAAATATAAATATAAAAATATATATATATATATATACATATGTATAAATATGTGCCTTTCTCTATGCGTGTGTGTCGCTTGTCTGTGTGCAGGCTGAAGGTGCTCCTTTGTCTGCAGTCATTCGCAGTCGGCATTAACGATGCATCTGACCAATGAGTCCTTCTACTGACGCTAAACCTTCCAGTGCTGGGACCCACTTAACCGTCATGCTTGATAGCATGTGTAAAATGCATCGCTGTTAGAAGCAGTCAGTGCTACTAGCAGCAGTACAGGAATCGTCGTTGCAGCAGCAGTGACCTAAGTAGATGCATTTGCTTAAGCATTTGCTGCCAGAGTTGAGCACGTGTTCTCGTGTCTCACTATCACGATTCATGAGTATTTCTGCTGCGTTGGGATTGACATAGCGACTGCTGTTGATATGTCTGCGTGATTAGCAGAAGTAAGATCACGATTGTCATGAAAGTAGCTACTTCATATATTTTTCGTCGTCATCTTCGTAGTAGTCGGAGCCGTTGTTGTAGCTCATCTCCAGGCGCAGCAGCTGCTTCTTCTAAAGGAGCTTGCATCTCGTGGCTGGGACTGGGGGCCGGAAATAGGACTGCGACATCGCGATGCATACATAGAGTCATAGAGCACGTACTTTCAGTGCAGTCTGTGTGCAGAAATGATGAGATAACAATACAAACGTAGGAGAAAGGAATTGCACATACAGAAAACGATATACATGCCATATATGCCTGCTATTTGCAAGACGCTATGGCTAAACATGCAGATTTTCTGACGGATGTGTTGTGCAATACGTAGCAGCAGCACAGTCGGTATGTAAATATACATAGATATATATGTATACACATATATGCAAGTAGCACAGATGTACATATGCACATGCACGTCTGTAGATAGATAAAGATCCCTCCCACACACTCAAAAGCACACACACACACATGTAAGTATATGCACCAATTGCCCATGTGGTCCTGGAGTATGGCAGATAGTGGAAAGCACGTTGCCGAATCGGAGATAGCTCTCCCCCACCTGCATCGTCCCTCAACCCTACCACCCCTGGACCCCGAATCCTAAAACCTTGGGCCCTAAACCCAAAAACCCTCCTACTACCCTGAACTCTAAAGCCTAAGCCCTTCGACACAGGAGCAGTTGGCAGCCCAGGAGGCAGCACGCGATGACGCCCAGAAGTCGGAGGCACAAGCTTGTGTCCAAATTCGCGTTCTTACTATGACCATAATTTTGATAATGATACTGGTAGTCATTGGCATTATGAATAGGAGTAACAGTAGCCAGAAGTAGCCGTGTGATGCTTGCTACGGTTCCTAACGCCACGGGTCCTACTCAAGTTACTAGTAATGTTACGTGTATGGACAGTACTGTGAGTCACTGTTACTGTCAATATGTGCTGCTATCGAAACCATTGTTATGGTCATGGCTGTTACGACTGTTCGTCATTCTCACTGTTATCAAAGCATTTTGGGGAGGTTTCTGAAACTTGGCTGTCCGCTGAGGGGTTTTCATAGCGAGGCAGTTTTCTTATCGAGAATACAGCGCGGTCTCGAGCTGCCGGCAAGCCGAAGCCGTCGTGCCCCAGAACCCTAAAACCCTTATCTAACACCTCCTCAGCTTGAAGTTCTCATGGAACGCTGACAGACATGTGCCCCAAGAGATTCGTGGGGCAGGCACGGATCGGCGCCAAAGTGGCGGAGCTTTCGACGAGCCACCATGGCTGGAAGAGGGGAGAAGTGCTTTCGTGGGTGTTCTTTGTTTTTGTCTGGGCTTCAGTTGTTTTGGGGTCTCTGGTGTTCTTGCCAAAACGGGGTGGTTTCGGATTAGGGTGTCCAGGGTTTAGGTTTAGGCGTTTATTGTTGTGTGCGCTTTGCCCGGTTTAGGGCTTGTAAGCCTTGTAAGCTCCACGATGTGTAGCGTCTACAGTCGATTCATAGGGTTTCATGGAGGCTTCAGCAGTCACATACCCTACATAATGCCAACACTTCTAAAGCCTTCGAGACCCTGCAGAGCCAGAAACCAGTGCTTTCTGCTGAGCAAAAAGAACTTCACAAGGGTTCAGCTGCAGATTTTCGGGGGGTTGAGCAGATGATTATGGGCTGGGATCCAGGGTGCACAGAAAAGGTTTAGGACTGCACACCCTGAACCTCGACAAGCTTGAGAACCACAGAACATCACAGAACCAGGACCCAAAAGCATCATTCAAAGCATCACAGGCTCCTGAACCACGCAATCCCAAAGCCGGGCCGCAAGTGTTGATGGCAAACGGAGTCATTTTCATAACACACTGGTCAAACTTGTAAGAGTCTGATTTTGTCCCTCTGATTTCAGTTGGGAACCATGTTCAGGTCTTTTCTTTGCTCTGCTGAACCCCACATGAACGAATCATCAACCCCTTAGGCCATAAACCCTAAACCCCGGGCCGCAAACTCTAAGCCCTAAACCCTTTAAGCCCTAATTCTAAGTCTTTATGAAACCCAGCAGGACCCAAACCCTCAAGTGTGAAACGCCGAGGCCTCGAACGGCAAAAAGAGGCAGCGGCCGCTGGGGCTAAGTTGCTTCGGGCGGCTCAGGTGGACTGCCAGGCCAGGGATTCAGGGCTTAGGGGTCCAGGGGTTTTAGGGGTTTAGGGGTTTAGGGATTGGGGGTTCAGGCTAGTCCCTCAACTTGAGGGTCGAAGTGATGCTGAAGGATGTTTTCATTTAGGTTTCATATCAGGGTCCTTTAGTTTATCTCAACATGATTTTCTCGTTGTTACTCTTTGCGGTGTTTGCTATTATTGCTTTCTTGCTCGCAACTCGTTTTGTGGGCTAGGATTCAAGAGGGTTTGAGTTTCTCGGATTTACGGCCCCGTGTTTTGGGGTTCAAGCACTCATGGCTATAGTATCTAGGATACAAGACGTTTGCCTTGGACAAGTGTCAACTGTTTTTTTAGCATGGACAACAGGGGCTCGGCCCTCACTGCATGTACGAGTGACTTAAGACTCAGTCCTGCTAAATGCTAAGGCCTGAGCAGCACCTGGCAAATCCTGGTAGGGTTGAGGTTTAGGGTGTAGTGTGTAGGGTTTAGGAATTCGGCTTAGTTGACGGTGTTGTCCGGGCTCCTGCACGCAACATGAGAGTGACGTATGTCGTTGGGAATCGGAAGGGGGCCTGAATTCAGAGAACTGCCATGTAGTATGAACGGGATGCATGGAAGAGAGTCCTCAAGTGGTGGGGGCCCGTGATTCAAGGGGTGAGTGCTATTTGTAATCTGGCCACGGTTGGTACATGCATACTACATACATACATACATACATACATACATACATACA